GGAACGTGCGATTTGTTACAATCATCAAGCAGATCATTTACTTTTATCATCCTTCTCTTTCTCCTTCGTTTCGTATCTATTATTACGAATATCGAGGATTTATTATCAGACTAAAGATCTAACTTCCTCCGTCCCAAATTAGTCGTGTACATTTGTACATTTTATCACATGAAGGGAGTATTTATATTTTTCGTCACAGACGGTACTACGCTGGCAACTGGCTCGCGGACCGTAACGAGCGACCCGAACCGTATACAATAATTCGTCGCTTTCTTTTTCTTTTGAACTCGTGTATCATGGATAGAAATTATTAAGCAGTAATAAACTTATCGTCTGTTTTACGTTTGAATGTACTTAAAACTGAGGAAATGTTGCAATTTCGCACGTCAAGAGGTTGATCATTCTCTTCTCTACGAGAGAGATTCCAAAAATTTCGAATGACTCGATGATAAATTAAATTAATAAGCCAGGGGGGAAACGTCGAGGCTTGACCTTGGAATTAAATTTACAGAAAGAGAAAGAGAGAGAGAGAGAGAGAGTCAATAGTTACCAGCAAGGATCTGAACGTAAAGCGTAGCCTCGACGATCGTGGCCAAACGTTCGAAGATGGTAAGAGTCACAGCGACGTGGCAACATTCTGACAGTGTGTTCGACGCGAATGGTACGTGACCGAGTCGCGTCTCGATTCGACAAAGGGGGATACACCACATCCAGTTGGCGGCGCTTATTATTCATAAGAAAGGCGAATTCTGAATAAATCATAATAACGAATGCGTCAGAGGAGTTTCTGACGTTCTGCAATGCGATCGCGAATGCACGCCGTGTCTTCGTGCAGCAGGTGCTTGGGATCGGCGATTGTAGCGCGCGTGCGACGCGATCGAACCTCGAGAAATGGATCGTACTTACCGCCGAAACGACTTTGGACTCTCGATCGATTCCTTTTTCGATCGATCTCGAGCCTTGACGAGCGAGGTTCGATGTTCGAACGTGCAGGAAAAAAAAAAGAACGCCGACGAAATCTCTCTGTCGTCTGCCACTAAAATTCCTCTGGACTCGAAGCAGCTGATGGTACAACACGGTTCAGTTACTCTATAACTCGAAAGTTGTACGTTTGTGAAAAAATACGAAAGAGAAGAATATGGAACGATTATTAGTCGTCGGATGAGCGCACGTTTCAATTCTCTGTAATGGATAACACCCAAAATTGAAAATCACAGTTGGATTTTATCAATACATCGTTACAGAACATCAAATGAATGACTTGTAATGATTTATTATGATTTATTATGGACGAATGAGGCTGCAATATCTCCTCTCTCTGATCAGAGATTTCGTTTATTTATATTTAGTCATAATGGAGTATATATTTCTGGTTTTCTATAATATATAGCTGTTAATTATATAGAAACAAGAAGAACATGTTTCATCAAGTCAATAAAATATTCGGAGTTGAAGAAAGACACGTGTGACATGTATGAAAAAATAAACATAGCTATTAATTGTATAGAAACAAGAAGAACATGTTTCATGAAGTCAACAAAATAGTCGGAGTTGAAGAAAGACATGTGTGACATGTATGAAAAAAAAAAATGTATATTAAGTCTTTAGGGGCAATGTCTGGTTACTGAGTCTGGTATTTTCACTAGAAGTGAATCTCAACAGTGCTGAATTTCAATTTTCAAAATTATATATAAACCGAATCAACACGTGTCATCGTTTAAATCTATAAGAATTATTATTGAGCCTAGCCTAAGCCTACCCTAATCCTATCTAGTTATTATTATTAACACCAGAGCTACCAAAATGGTCAAAATGGCCAATTTACAATTTTAGTTGAACATTTTATAGACACAGAAAAACAGATTCAAGCGATTTTTTTTTTTTTTTCGTAAAACGTGTAGATGAAAGCTTCTGTACTTTATGGCACTCCAAAGCTCTCCTATTTTATTTTACTTGTTTTCACTTTAACGTCTCTGATCTGGAAATTTTACGTTTTAAACGGCCATAAGTAATTTTAGTCTCTAATATAATTTACAACTTTAAAAATGATCAGAAAGCCTAAATAATCAATACCGGGCGTCGTTTACCAGGCCTTTCTCGAATCCTTTCTCCGTTTGGATTTCATCCAATTGGTAGATCCATTAGCAACGAAATTTCAAAATAATTGCGGGAGTTAAAAAACAAGGATCATCTTTTAATGCACGAAACCGCGTGATTCTTATAACGGAATAACGAAACGATCACGAGAGAAGGAGAGAAGGGGGAGAAAGAAGAGCGAAATCAGCGTGGTCCGCTGTAAAGTGGAACGGCGCGAGGTTTGCTCGTTAGGTTCACGGAGGTCAGACTGTAGGTGATCTGGCCGGAGGGTACGAACCCGGGGCATGTAGACCGGAAGTAACGTCACACCCGCGTGGCTCTGAATGCGCATACCGGATGTGTGGCATCGGCTCCCCATCAGAACCATCAACATCACATTCACAATTCCTGCACATCGCCGCCTCGTCGCACATCACATCACATCGCGTATATACTCGTGCACGCACGCACGCACGCACGCACGCATGCACGCACGCACGCGCTCAAACATCACGCACGTAGATGCTAAAAAAACGCACGGGCAAGCAAGGTTTATTTCCCCGGAGTTTCGAAAGGGCTCACCGGCAACAACGCTGCCACTGCTACGGACAGTACTCCGATTTTTCGACAAATTTCTCCGGTTCGCGGTCGAGCGTGACGACGCGCGTTGTGCAACGAAACGAGAAGCTCGTTCCGAGTATCGTGTGCAACCGCGCGCACGTTGCCACAGGGGACGTTTCTCGTTGCGTCTCGAGTTGTCGCTCTTTATGCTTCTGTTCTTCTTGGTAGATTCGCGACTGATACAGTAGAGTATTGATACGGTGGTTCTCACTTGGACGAGTTTGAAAAGAAAGCGACGAATTATCTGTATACAATTTGGTCACTCGTTACGGTCCGCAAACAGTTGCCCGGCGCAAGTGGTTAAGGATACTTGTGTAAGTAATGTCGTTTTCTGACACTAGAAAGTTTTATTTTATCTAAAAGTTAATCTGTAATATAATTTAACAATAGACACACGAAATGTCAATGTATTTCACTAGGATGTAGATTATATTAGGCATAACATAGGTTGTGTTATAACATATATATTATATATTATAGCATAACATGTTGTAATAAGTAAAATTATATATTTAAGTAAAGCAAAATAGGCGAAACAAATAATATTCTCAATAATTTCTATCCGGCGATGTCACACTGACGAGTTCAAAAGGAAAGCGACGAATTATTGTATACGGTTTGGTCACTCGTTACGGTCCGCAATCAGTTGCCCGGCGCAAGTGGTTAAGGACACTTGTGTAAGTAATGTCGTTTTCTGACACTGTAGAAAATTTTATTTTATCTAAAAGTTAATACAGTTTTAATCTGTAATATAATTTAACAATAAACACACGAAATGTCAATGTATTTCACTAGAATGTAGATTATATTAGGCATAACATAGGTTGTGTTATAACATATATATATATATTATATATTATAGCATAACATGTTATAATAAGTAAAATTATATATTTAAGTAGAATAAAATAGGCAAAAATAATAAATTTATTATTATTAAATAAGCACAAATAATAAATTTATTATTCAATCATTTCTATTCGGCGATGTCATACCGACGAGTTCAAAAGGAAAGCGACGAATTATTTGTATACGGTTTGGTCACTCGTTACGGTCCGCAATCAGTTCCCCAGCGCAAGTGGTTAAGCGGCGAGACGTATTTTGCGAATTGTGCCGAAATATGAGTATCACTCGCTTTGTATCGTGCTTTATATTTCACGCGGCCTTCGGTAGGCACGATAAGATAATCCCAATTCCGAGAATTAGTAGGGATAGCTTAAATGGGAGAAAGTGCGGTAAGCGAGGGCTACTGTATCTGTGGAGCACGATAATTATTCTACGGTATTTCGTGTACATACAGCAAAAAACGTAATTGTGACCGATGTACAATGAAATATCGTCGATTATTATTTACGTTTAACTGACGCAAGAAACTTGGTAAGAAAAGATCACAGGATGATCCATTAAAATGCGAGGTCTCTAAAAGTGGAAATTAAAATTTATTGTAACGGGGACTCTATTGCACAGAGTGGAAGAAATAATGCGTATCGAAGAATATGTCGATTCGAACCTCGACCGATTATACGGGCAAGAATAGCAATCGACGATGGAGGAAAAGAAAAAAAAAAAAGAAACGCGAATGCCACAAATGAGGTAATGCCGTTGCAAAAACGAGCTGAAGCTTGATTAATCGGCGCTGGCAATTCTCCCGATTCTCAATAAATGCATTATCTCGAATATCTTAATCAGGATCAATAGGTATGTCCAGTCTCGATCATCGTTTATATGCTGAACCGAGAGATGATTAATGTCTTAACGATATACTCAAGGTGCTTCTAATAGGTTTTTAATGAGACTATAACCAAGAACTTCGATCTCATTGAACATCGTATCTTTTACATCTTCCAATATATCGATACCGGCAAGATCGATAATATTCTCGAGAGAAAAAAATTCTCTACGATACAAGATAAAACGCGACCGGTATCCTCAGTTAACACGAAAAAGATACAAGAGTAAAACAATTAAACAAAAAACGTTGTAAAGTACAGCGTTAAGGATGTAGAAAAAGCAATTGGACAAACGCGTAGAGATCGGATGAAAACGTCTCGGAAGAGGATCATATAGGATCGTGGCAATGATCCTGTAATTAGAAGTCGTTTGAGAAACCTATACGCCATGGAACGTGCATGAGAGAAAAGAGAGAAAGAAGGAAAGAAAGAAAGGAAGAATACGTTTTCCGCGAGACGGGAATACTATACTGTGTGTGTATATGTAGTATCAAGTGAAGGAGAAGAAGAAGAAGAAGAAGAAGGAGAAGAAGAAGAAGAAGAAGAAAGAGAAGGAAAAAAGACGGTACTCACCTTTGGTTATGTTGAGGCGGACTCGTTCCTTCTCCCAGGAGGCGAAAGAAGCCTCCAGGGCCTCGGTCATCTTCTTGTTGGTCCCAGGTGTTAACGGCGGCACTTGTGCCGGTATATCTGTAACACGCGTAAGGATACGTTCAAGTGCTTGCTCATATATATCACGATATATTTATTTTATGAAACTCAAGCGAAGAACTTTGATTTTGCAACGTTTAGGACTATCTAGAGTTTGGAGGATGATTTATGAACTTCCATTTCGCCAAGTTTACAATTACGGTTAACCTCTTGCGCTGGAATGACGTCGAGAACTTTTTCTCCCAAAATTGTAATATTTTCTCAGTTTTAAGTATATTCAAGTAAAATAAAATAGGCACAACGAATAATAAATTTATTACTTCTGAGTAATTTCTATCCAGTGATATCGACGAGTTCAAAAAGAAAGCGACGAATTATTGTATACGGTTATGGTCGTTCGTTATGGTCCGCAGTCAGTTGACAGTGCAAGTTAACCTCTTGCGCTGGAGTGACGAGAACTTTTTCTCCCAAAATTGCAACATTTTCTCAGTTTCAAGTAAAACAAAATAGGCACAACGAATAATAAATTTATTACTTCTCAGTAATTTCTATCCAGTGACGTCATACCGACGAGTTCAAAAAGAAAGCGACGAATTATTGTATACGGTTATGGTCGTTCGTTATGGTCCGCAGTCAGTTGCCGTGCAAGTTAATCGCCTCTTGCGCTGGAATGACGTGCCACGCACGTCGAGAACATTTTGTACCAAAATTGCAACATTTTCTCAGGTTAAGTATGTTTAAATGTAACCAAGGCAAAACAAATGATAAGTTTATTACTTCGTGATAATTTCTATTCAGTGACATCGTGCCGACGAGTTCAAAAGGGAAACAGAGCGACGAATTATTGTATACGGTTCGGTCACTCGTTATGGTCCGCGAACCAGTTGCCAGCGCGAGGGGTTAAAATAATACCTTAGAAACGTTAAAAAATAAAAAACGTAAAACGTAATTAAAAACGTAATTAAAACGTAATTAAGACGTAATTAAAAATACGTAAAAAAAAAAAAAAATGAGAATTTCTACACAACGAAGGACCATGTACTCTGACGCGCACGTTCAGAACCTTTGTCTATCAAAAAACACGTGGTGAACCGTGTGTTTGTCAGAGGCAGACTGGGAATAGTCGAATCCTCGGATCCGAGATGGATGTGTGAGAAGCCAAGTAAATGGTACTTCTCACAAAGTGGTGTGCACGCGCGCGTCAGCGTGCAGAAGAGAGAACCGAAGGAGCGTCAGGTGTCGCGGCGGCGACGACGGGCGGCCAGGAGCAGCAGCAGCGAAAGCGAACAGAGGCGAAGGGGGCATGCACACCATCCTAGATAGCATCGTCGTAAAGAGGGGTAGCAACTGGCGGGCAGGTGCAGGTGCATCGTTGTTGTAGGTACGCTTCTTCTTGCTCTATGCCGTACGCACAACGCTGCGTACGCCTTATGGCGCGATCCAATACTCTTCTTCTCTTCTCCTCTGCCCGCGTTCGACTATTCTTTGTCCGACACATTTTCGTCTGCGCACAGACTTTCGAAATTCTCGAATTCAATTTTGACGATAGAATTCTGGTAGTTCAGATGCGTTTTGGCAAGGGGTTAAACTAGGCAAGACAGTTTCTTTTTCTTTTATGTACAGGGTGTGTTCACGTTTTTTTCTCGTAAACACAGAGAACAATGAAATGGATTTGTTTATCTGTTATATTTGGGGGACGGAGTGCAAACAAAAAGGAACAGCTTATGGCTCCTGCCAGGATCTTCAATCGCTACAACAGCAACAACTGCGAAATTTATCATCCGCTCGAGTTCATATCTGAAGGAAGCACAAGACCTGCGGTCATGCCATTACCAGAGACCACTGGTTTTGTTTTCACACCAGTCACACCGGCTGTATCTTATCGAACCTCTGCTGCCTTTACGTTTTTCTTCCGTTTTCGATAAGCCGAAATTATCCAGTCAGCTCGCTTTCGTGAAACGAATCTGTTTCTCAAACGAAAAATCGAATTTATCAAAATTTACAATGAAGAAGAAGAAGGAGGAGGAGCAGGAGAGTGATAAACGTGATAGAAATCGTGTTTTCTTGGGGGAACGCGGGGATATCTGCACAGCTGGATTTGCATGGCCATAAGCTCTTCCAACGGCGTACCGCCGAAAGTCCATTAAGTATGTATGGCGTGCACGCACGGCAAGTCTCCCGTAACCCATAAGCACCTTTGTCTCAACGCGTACAAACGTACGTGTGTGCGTACGGCGACGCACGAGCACACGCGCGCGACTAAGAAATTTGCATACCGGCGCGCTGCTTACAAACGTACAAAGATATCGACGCTGTTCGTCGCCGAGGAGTTTCCAAGCCGGCCGGCTACTCGCTAGAGAACATTGCGCGTCGATCGTTCGCCGTCTCCTTAAATGGTTCCGGCGAATTTGACACACGATAGAAATAATAATAATGAACGATGAATATCGTTGACCCTCGAAACCCTTGAAGGAGGACATCATGCACGGTAATACCGCGACGTAATTCAAGAAGGAGACGCTCGTACTGTTCTTACAAAATATAAAATTCAAATGATCGTCGCTCAGTCTTGCGAAATGTGAAATTTAAATGATCTGTCGATTTGAAACGAGCGAAAATGAAACTATGAAATTTAGACGATCCACGTGGTTCATGGAATTGATACTAATATTATTTCCCCGAGTTTCGCGTTTTCATGCACTTTCTAATCAATTAAATTATAATCGAAACTGCACATTTTTAATGAGCGAGACCTAAGTTTTATTTTATTTTCTCTCATTTTACATTAAAAATCCGCGTCAAATCTGGAATCTTTTTCTTAAAAAAAAAAAAAAAAATAAAGTTCTTCTCGCGTTGAATTTTCTTCAATCAATACCAAAAAAAAAAAATCGATTAAGCCTTGTCGTGAAATTCCACGACGAACAGAGACAACGACGGTCACGGATGCAAAGTGTATCAGCCGCGATGCAGAATTATTCATCGTGACGAGGGAACGTACGCGTCGTGGAAACGTGTAATCGCGGAGAGGAGTGGACGAAGAAGAAGTGGGATTGTCCTGCTGTAAGGATCGAAAGAACGGGAGAACGGCCGCAGTGTGGCTCCCGGAGGAGCTGGAAATTGAAAACCCACGTGCCACCGGCGCAACGTTTGCCCCGTGGTTGGAATATCAATCGGACCACATTTGCAGGAACGACGCCTGTGGCTGGCTCGTTGCGAATGCCGCGTATGATCGAGCACGACGAGCTCTGCCAGTAAAATGTTCGCTGTGTCTTTCCCCTCCTCCTCGAATTCCGTGGATCGCGGCAGATTTATCTCCTGTCACAGTCGAAAGCGAATCGCGAGGACCTCCGTGATCGTGGAATTACTCGAGCGTCCCTCGAATTTACCGATCGGGCGTCAAATCGAAATGCAAATTGTGAGTCGTGAGGATTTTTCAGTGGAAAGAAGAAGGTTCGATGGCGTTGGTTTCCGGTGGTGCAAATCCCGAAAATTTTAGAAATTTCTTTCAGTCCGGCGGGGGAACTAACTGAACTTGGATCTGAGCGCAAGTTTCATTGGATCGATTTTGCTCTTGTAAGAGAATTGGAAATTTGAGTTTAGAGATTGCTTGGGGAAGTTGGTTTGAAAATAATTCGGGAAATAATCGCACGTTATAGAAAACACACTCGTCCTTTCAAGAAACGAATTCACAAATAGATAGAAAATGTCATAAATAAATCTACACAGGCGCAACATTCGTCATACATTCATACATACGTGCACACAAACGCAACCATTCTCTTAAAATTATTTTAAGTGCTAGCCTAACTTTCGCTACAGCAGACCACTTGGGACAGTTTTGGGAAAGTTTTTCAAGAATTTGTCCATCCCACAATAATAATAATATAATAATATTATATTAATTCTTCTCTTAATTCTACTTGGAGGTTGCATTTGGCACCACTTTCTCGTACGAAATCTCCCGAGCAAGTTACAAATGGAACACGTGGACACGTTACGTTTCCTTTCGTGCAACTAATCGCATATGTGACGTAATGGCTGTTAGAGTTGGTGAACTGATCGAAACGTCTATGGGCCAATGGATCGAGGATGCATCTGTTATCCGCGATGATCATAGTTATCGATTGTCGTTGAGACACCCATCCGTTCGCAATGACAGCCTATTGAGACACACAGTCACTGGCAGACTGATTAATCCTCCGAATAATCTTCGACTTTCACGCCTGGAGACTTTCCTAAATAACATCGAAGGATTAACTATCGTATTTTCCAATTTAATTCCAACGACACGATGATACAAAGAGACGAAAAATTGGCACAGAAAATAAATAGTTATACGCGGCAGTTGCGAATCTTTTTATTCAATCGCGTGTATGATTCACGCGTGGATGACCAATTATATTCTATATTGGCTTTGTAGTTCTTATTTCCTCTGGCTCTGTCTAACATTCAAAAACTATAGATCAATGATGGCGAACCTATGACCAGGCTTTTTAAATGACCCACGTTGATTTTTATAAACTTATCATCGTATATATATAAAAGAATTTTAATTATTTTTCGAATCCCTTTTTTCAAAAAATGTTAAGAAAGTTACATGTGATCGGTTAGAGCTTAAAAGTGAGAAATAAATGCATAATTGTGTTTTATGGAAGATTTACGACTTGGTTATATATACATATAGGTATTTTAAGTCTTAAATGTTATATGATTATATATTGTGTCCAAAAAATTTTATACAGCGCTTACGATTAAACAGATGTAATAAACACTAAAAAAACACACTAGATCCCATTCTCAGAATGGGTAGCTTTGCTAGTTTTTTATATAATAAAAGAGAGAACGGACAATAAAAAATATTAAGAAATAAATTATATATATCTAATGTATAGTGCAGGAGTGACTGAGCATGATGTCACCCCTTTTATATCAATTTTTCGACGTCGACATTTGTTTTTTGCTCTCCGCTTGCAAAAGTAAAAGTTGTCAAACAAAAAGGAAACGTAAACTTTTTGGAGGATTATAAAAGTGGGAACAAAAAAAAAAGTAGTTTTTAACCATCCTCCCCTCCCCCTCTCCAAGCCACGAGCT